AATTATGTTCTACATCCTTCTCCAGCTCTGTCCAGAACCCTCTGTTGTGATCCTGGTCAGAGCAGTCAGTGGTGGTAGCCGGGCACCATCTAGCTGTACCGGAGGGACCCTGAACTTTTGATAAGGGTGCTGAAAAAATTCAGGAAGAGTTAATCGTGATGGCTGACCAACATGATGAACACAACTAATGTCACAAAATCGTACACATGAAGATTGTTGAAACAGCAAGTATTTTGTTACCTATGTATTTACCCCAACAAAAAAAAAGTATTAAAAAAAAAAAAAGTGGTGTGTGTATGTCAGTGTTTCACGCTGGCTGGGGTGGTGGTGCCAGCAACTCCTGGAGTGTAAGTGCTGGCAGGCAGGTGGCATTTGGATTTTGTGTGGTGTTTGCATTCTGTGTGATATTTAGATTTTGTGTGCTTTGGATTCTGTGCAGTGTTTGGATTTTGCGTGGTGCTTCGATTCTGTGTGGTATTTAGATTCTGTGTGGTGTTTACAATTTGCGTGTTGTTTAGATTCTGTGTGGTGATTAGATTCTGTGCAGTGTTAGAATTTGCATGGTGTTTAGCTTCCATGCAATGTTTAGATCCTGTGTGGGTGCATGTGTGGCTGGAACTGTTGGAACATGCACTGACAGGCATCTGTCCGTCCGCTGCAGGAGAAATGACAGGGAGGCAGGGGCTGCAGTGGAAGTTTCAGACGAGCTTTGAAGCCCCCCACTGAACAGGATCAAATCCAGGCCCTGTCACTCATTAGCGAGGGGACCTTAAGCAAGTCTCAGCCATTCATTCATTCACATCTCCCTTCATCCATGCCTCCAGGGCTCATGGTCTACTCAGCTTCCACACAGTGACATGTGCTGCGGGGCAGTGCAGCGGTTACAGAGCAGGAATCAGCCAGGATTTCTCCACCTGCAAATAGGGAAGGTAACTGCCCACTTACAGTGACTGTAAGGCTAAATGAAAGGAGGCTCAGCATCCATGGAATCTAGTTTGATTTTGACTTTGTGTCACTCCAGCTCCTCCTGGAGCAGGCTGGATAGGCAAGAAAGAGGGCTGTGAGGGCACGCTCTGGGAACTTCCACAAACCAACTTACTCTTTGGGGGGATTCAGGTCCTCGGGTCTTGTCTCAAAGAACTGCAGCACCTCATCGCACTGAGAGATATAGGGGGGCAGCTGGATCAAGGCCTGCAGAAGAAACACACAGGTGAGTCCAAAGGAAGGAGAGGAGGGTCAAGGGTGCCATAAGCCAATGGTTCTCAAACTTGAGGGTGCATTAAAATCATCCAGAGGGTTTGTTAAAATACAGATTGCTGGGCCACACCCCTAGAGTTTCTAGTTCAGTGAGTTACGGCTGCTAACCAAAAGGTCAGCAGTTCGAATTCTCCAGCTCCTCCTTGGAAACCATCTGGGGCAGTTCTACTCTGTCCTATAGGGTCGCGATGAGTCAGAATCGACTCGACAGCAATGGGTTTTTGGTTTAGGTCTGGGTAGGGCCTGAGAATTTGCATTTCTAGTAAGTTCCCTGGTGATGCTGATGTTGCTGGTCCTGGACACACACACCCCCCCACACACGTGTAAAATGTATGTATGTACACATGTAGAATATATGTGTGTTATAGGTAAATATTTGGACAAATAATATGATTTGGAACAAAACCAGACCATATTGCATATGCTATTGGTAACTTAATGATTTCACTTAAATTATGAACTTTATGCCATGTCATTTTTTTCCTACAACATCATCTACATTGGATACTGGGAGTCTATTCCATAGATGTATCATACGCTCTTCAACTAGATGCTTACTGGTGAACACTTAGTTGTTTCCAATTTTGTGATATTATACAAAATGCTTGCGTGTATGTCTTCACTCATGAATCTGAGAGTTGTTTTAGGGTATGGGTCGAGGTGAGAGGTCCCCTCATGAGTGAGGGGCTGAAACACCAGGGATCTCCTGCTCACCAAGCCTATGTTACTTTGTCACACCTGTTCATCAGGTGAGCTGTGGGGAGACTGTAGTCTCTGCCAATGGGCCGGGTAAGGAGGCGGGTGAGGGTACAAAGAGGGACTAGATATTCATGGTGCAGGTTTATCAATGGACAGATATCCATTCAAAGGTCACTTGCTTTGTGCTCAGCACTGCACTGCTTTCTGCGCCAAATATGAGAGAAGTATGGGGTGCATCCCAATCACTAAAGAATCTAAAACTAAGACATGGCTCCATGATGAATAAACAGCCTAGTGTAACAAATATTTACTTAAGGCCCCTCTGGCCCAGGTCCTGAACCAGGCGATGGGGCTGGAGATGTGAGTGCAAGGAGTTGTTTCACACACATTTCATTACAGACACTTGTGCAGGGAGGGTGTACACGCAGACACGCGAATTTAAATAGCACAGGTGACTCGGCCAGCCATCCCCAGCCCACCAGCACATGCTCTGGGGTGAGGTGTAGCTCTGCTGTTTCTATCAGCCTCAGTTCCCTGGGGCCTCTCATATGCCTGCTCGCCACACAGAACATGAGGCTATGGTTTGAAAAGGCATGTTTTACGTTTTATACATAACTAGTCCCTAAAATCTCTCTACCTGCACCAACTGATATTGCAACACAGCAGGAGTACTGGGCTATCATGGACAAATGGAAGGAGACAGATGGAGGTCTCCAGTGTGGCACCTTCTGCAGGGCTTCCAGAGTATTTTGACCCTACATGATTTTTTAAAAATTTTTTTATCCTGGTGAAATATATATAACTTTGCCATTTCAACCATTTTTTACATGTAAAATGCAGTGACATTATTCACGTTCCCCATGTCATACAGTGCTGCTAACCGAAAGGGTGGTAGTTCGAACCCACAAGCCACTCCATAGTAGAAAGATGTGGCAGTCTGCTTCCGTAAAGGTCTACAGCCTTGGAAACCCTGTGGGGCAGTTCTGCTCTGTCCTATAGGGCTGCTGAGTCAGAATTGACTCGACAGCACACGTTGTGCAACCATCACCACTATCTGTTTCCAAATTTTTCATTACCTTTAACAGAAACTCTTTACCCCTTAAGCAATATCCCCCTATTTCCTCTCCCACCTGCCCCTGGTAACCATTAATAACCTGCAGGATTTTTGAGTCAGGGTCTGACAGTAAGCCAAATTTCCCAAGGTCTGAACTGCCCCAGATCTAAAGTGAGGGAACACAATCCAATTCAGTGACACTGATTACATTATTGAAGTTGTGCAACCATTCTCATCCTCTTTTTCTGAATTGTTTCTCCCCCATTAACATAAAATCACCATCCCCTAAGTTTCCTATCTAATCTTTCAAGTTGCTGTTGTCAATTTGATCCCATATAGTTCTTAAAAGAGCACAACGTTCAAGGCAGACATTCTTTACTAGTTAAGCTAAACTGCTGTTTGGTTTAAAGAAGACTTCAGGGTCATTGATTTTTTATTAGCCTCTACCTACCTCCTGCACTGCAACAAACTCCCAGGGACTTTCCTTTCCCAGGCCCGAGGCCGGCGCCACAGGGGAGAAGAGCAGGCATGTCCTCCCTCCACCTCCCATGTCTAACCCCCATCTCCTTCTGGTTTGGAGCAGCAAGTACTCATTCTCTTGCCCGGGATGAACCGCCGTCTGGGGGCCCCTGGGGCCTCTCTTTCCTCTGACATCCTGCAGCTCTTGCAGTTGGAACTACATAAAGAAGGAGCTGATGATAGACTGAACAATGGTGCGTCCTGGCTGCCTCGTGAGCAAATGTCTGTGGTTTCCACCAGAATGCAACCACAATGCTGTGGGTCAGCACTTGTCTTGATGGCTTCCATGGGTCCGTCTGCATCACTTCCTGTAATCCTGGTAGGGCTGGCCCATTTCAGAGATGGGGAAATGGAGGTTCTGGTGAAGTGATTAGGACTTGAGAGCACAGGACTAGAGACTAACTCCTTTACCCCAAATTCACCTTTCCTATATACCTACAGAGCTGGGGGGCCCATGATACCTGGTGTCTTAATTTCCTAATGTTGCCGTAACAGAAATATACAAGTGGGTAGCTTTAAAGAATAGAAATTTATTTTTTTCACAGTTCTGGAGGCTAAAAGTACAAATCAGGGTCTTGGCCATGTCAATTCCTTCTGTGAGCCACTCTCCTAGTTAGGTGACTACCGTCAATCCTTGGTGTTCCCTGGCGTCTATCTTCTCCCTATGTATGTCTCTGTCTTTTCTGCTTTCTTCATAACTCAGAAGTGATTACGTTTAGGACCCACCCTTCATGGGTATGATCTTATTAACACAACAAAAGAAAACCTCTCATTTCCAACCAGGCCATATTTACAGGTACAGGTGTTAAGAGTTCAACACATACTCTTGGGGGAGTACAATTCAATCCATAACACCTGGTCAAAAAGTATTTGTTAGATAAACAACGTGAGGAAAGGCCCAGGATGTGGCCACGTAGCCCTGTTTGCGGAGAGCTGGGTGGGTGGGGGGCACGAGCCCCCAGGTGGTCATCATCTCTGTCTGCAGGGGCCTTCGCCTGGGTGCTCCTTGCTGAAATAGGCAGAAGCCCCAAATGGACCAGTGA